TCAAAATTGATTAATGCTACTACTGAGACCGCATTTTCTTCATTAAAATTACCTCATCCTTCAAAATGACAACATCCCTCTTTTGTTTCTCTTTCTGTCATTTTTAAAACTTTTGGGGTCCCCTCACTTTTCACCAAATTTATATATATTTTACAAAGACTTTCATATCAATATAACAATCATGTTTAGATCCAACTGAAACTCTAAAAAAAATAACTTAGTTTATAATTAAACGTACTTAACAAAAGTAAAAGAAGGACTCAAAATTGATCAATGCTACTGCTGAGACCTCATTTTCTTCACTAAAATTACCTCATTCTTCAAAATGTTGACATCCCTCTTTTGTTTCTCTTTCTATCATTTTTTAAAACCTTATGGGTCGCCTCACTTTTTGCCAAATGTGCATATCTCATGTGATAACTTTAATTTCTTTCACTTTATTATATAGATTTGAAAGAATTTGAGTGAAGAAATTTTGGAAAGGAATTGGGCAAAATCCCTTGCAACTATAGACTTTCCGAAAAAGATCCAAAATCCCCAATTAAAGTACTCTAATACTCATGCTTTAGGTAGGATAGCGTTTTTTCCACTTGAGTCCCTCATGTTTTGTTCGAATTACAATTTAGTACTGTAGCTTCCTATCTCTTCAGTTCAGTCCCATTTCTTGCATTTTAACTCAGTGCTGAAAATTGCCCAAGGGACGACACCCTAAAGAAGGTTCGACACTTTTACTGAATTTCTGAATAAAAAGTTCGTCTCTGGCTTTTGGCTTTGACTACTTTAATGGTAAAACTGTTTGGGTCTCTTATCTTTTAACAAGTTGACACTTTGATCTTCATAGTCCTAATTTCTTCGATGGTCCTAAAAATTTCAATTTTTTGCAAGTTAGTCCTTATCTACACAAAAATGATTAAATATATAAAAAATCAAATAAAATAAAACTTAAACAACTCAAAGAACTAAAATTTAAGATTAAAAAATATATAAAAATTGTATAAAATTTAGACTCATCACACCAAATAAAAAAGAATGAGGCCAAAAGAAAATTTACTAAGCCTTTATTTAGTATTGTTGTAGTTTTGGGTTTCTTTTTTAGTTTTTATAAATTTTATAACTACCAAAAACTAAAATTAGAAATTAGAAATAAAAAATTTGTTTAAAACGAACTTTAACACTTGCAACTAAAAATATTTACTTGTTTAATAATGTGAAAACTATTTTGTGTTTATTTCTTTGATAATTATAATAATAAACTGAAAAAACACATTAAAATATATTATTTTTTTGTTTAAAATTATAAAATTTATAAAAATAAAAACCTAAAATCACAATTATCTTAAACAGAGCCTAAATGATTAATAATCGACTTTTTCAACTCTCTATTAAAATTTTTATGTCATATATAAAAGTACATATTAGTATAGAGCATATTGTTTTCTTAAATCTATTTTGAAAAATTTCTTAAAAACTCAAATTTTAATTAATATTTTTAAAAATTAACTATTAAATTAAATACTTTATTCATATAAATTATATATATATA